AGTGGAGCCATGCATGGGAATCTCTGCATCCACAACACATTTCCTTCCAGTCTTTGGCAAGAGATTTAAGCACTGTTTACATGCAGCTTTGAGTTTTCTCACTTTGGTAAAAAAAGCATGACTGCATCTCATTGAGCTGCTAATGCTTTTTGGTTATTACAAATAACGTTCTGTGTGCTTGTTTCAAATTCGAACTTAAAGTTTTTAACTCCCAAAAAAATGCCCTAAAAAGTATCCTAAACCGAAGGCATGATGGGGCGTTTTGGGGGAGTTTTCTCTCCGGCCGTCTCACCTCGCTGTTGCGCACCACCCCGATGAAGTCGGCCTGGGGGGGCATGAGGACGTTGAGCTCGGCCTCGTAGGCGCCCTCTCCGCTGTTCTCCGCCGTCACCTCCAGCGTCAGCGGGTTGTCGTCGCCGATGTAGATCTGCTTCTGGCTGCTGCTCGAGATCAGGGGGAGACACACGCAGAGCTGTCACAACACTCTGCCTCACGGCTGCAGCGGAGAGGGGGAGGCAGGTAACCTTTCGCTCACCTCACGACGGACAGCTTCAGGTCAGGCTTGCAGATGTTGTCGTCCCCGCAGTCGAGCAAGATGTGGGCCTGAAAATCAGCCAGCGTTCAGAGCATCAAAACACAAATTCTTTCTTTGTCTGAACTTCACATAGAGGTCTTTTAGCCAAACTAAGAGTGTTTCTATCCTAACAGAGTCAAAAAACTCAAAAATTGTTTTCATAAGATTGTTAGCTGTGGCTTCATAGTTTAACTTCTGCTTCTGACATGTATGCACATTCCTTAAATACTCAGTTGTCTTATATATCATATAAAGTGCTTTTTCTTTAACATGCCTCTACACAAAGTATTTTTAAGTGTCCTTTAGCATGGCTTTTGCTATATACTGACTAGCAATAATTCAACAGCCCATAGTGGTGTTTGCAGTTGCCCCATGTGCTCTCAGTCCATAAAGAACCTGCTTCAGGCAGGAGGAAACACAGCCCTCAGGCCCGGTCACAATTCACATCCACAATCTCTGAGCTTCAGGCTCAGATTATGGTTGTGTGTTTCCCCTCCAGGTGGATCCAGGCTGGGAGTGTGACCCCTACCTGCTTGGACACATTTGCGGGGGTGAACTGGTCCAAAATGGGCAGCAGTCCGGTCCGATCAGCAGCAGTTTTGTAGTCCAAGCTGTACCCCATGAAGATGGTGATGGGTGTGATCTTATCCCTGAACTCAGAGTCATCCTGCAGAGCAAGGCTCACGGTGAGTTCAGGTGGGGGGGTATGCAAACACCTTTACCAAATAACACAGCTATTCAAACACCTTTACCAAATAACACAGATATTCAGACACTTTTACGTATCGACACAGGTATTCAAACGCCTCCACCAATCTGCACAGAATAGCCTCTTTTCCACATTTAGTCTCGTAGACAGCCTGTCTACACAACTATATTATTTTATATACAATACAGCCAGAGTAACAGAATTTGTGAAGTACAAAGAAAAGTGAAGTAATTAAAGGTAAGAATAACACTGCAGCAGAAAACATGATTTTATTATTGACACAAGCTACGAATATAACTAACACACCATTTATCATGCAATATGCCTCGAACGCCCTTTAAGGAGAGGCGGCAGAGCCGTGTCCGAAATCAGACGGTCAGAAGCAGCTTCCTGGGTCACTCACGATTAAGAAGGCCTCCAGCTCCTCGCAGGCCGGGCCCCTGTCGTTGCTGACCGTCATGTTCTTGGAGTACTGAGACAGCCTGCTGTGCAGGAACAGAACTCTCTTTATCGCCCCCTTGTGTTTGAGTCTGTCCAGCACCAGCTCCACCTGGAAGTCTGCAGGACAGAGAGCCAGAGACAGGCATCACCCATGACTGAGAAGAAAGGATTAACAGGCAAGGTGCACCCTCTCCTGTTAACTGTGTACTGCCACCCTAACACTATGTTACTGTGGTCCTATACTTGTGTAATTACACACACCTTGTTACACAGTAGCTGCATGGAAAAACCTTAGCGCTAACACTTGTTATACCAGCACTAATACAGTTTTGGGGCCCAGCTGTTTTGTCAGCCTGGAGCAAGCCTGTTGGTCTGGCCAGTACATCTGTGTAAGGCAAAATTCCAGGAAGATTTGCAACTGGCTGACCATTTCACACAAAAACATTTCCTTATCCACAGAGTTAGCCAAAAACTATCACTGATATTGGAAGCAACGCTGAAATGATCGGAGTTTAAACTCACGCAGTGCTGAAGGAGCCCCCTTTCCACTGGCCTTCAGGCAGTACTTCACTTTAAAACTGACGGGAGAGGAGAAGCAGATCAGTGCAGTAGAAACACGACTGTAGATCAGCAGAAAATCAGCAGACACGTCCATGTCAGAGGAGTTCAAGCAGACATCAAACACCACGCTGTAAAGCACTTCCCTACTGCTGCAGGCAACACACAGTTTGATACCCAGGACACACCCACTAATGACTTTAATTACAGGTACTGCTGTAAAAGATGTACTCTCAGCTGCACGGAGCACATCATGTGTGTCATGCCTTCTTATTGTTTACATTGAATGGGATTGCACAGCATGTCAGCAGGGACCAGCTGAATGGGTATGCTTTGATGGAGACCTAATGGAACGGTTGACTCCACCCTGAAATGCCCAAAGACATTTCTGATGTAAAGTGAGTGCCAAACTCCATGTATTCCGGTCTACTAAAGTTTTGACATCTAAAACAACCACACACTGGCCCCCTCATGGATTCACATAAATCACATCGGCAGTGTTGTGACTGTTACAGCATCAAAGCAGAGCCAAGCACTGCCATTGCTGCACAGCCCAATGCTTCTCTATCGGCCTGATCACTAAAGCATTTCATGCCGCCCGCAGGCAAGATACGGTGTCTGTGAGGCTCCTTTGTGCAGCTGAAGTTCTCCTTTGTGTAACAGATTCAGAAGCAAACCTCAACTGGCATGTAAACTCTTAAAACGATCAGTCAGTCATTCACTAAACGATAACTGTTGATAAATCATTAAAGCTTCATCAGCAGTAGTGAGAGAGTTTTTCCGTCTTTGCTAAAAAAAAAAGTGAAACCTATCCGTTTCTGCCCTCTGTTCTTATTGCAGGGCGGGTCCAGACACAGAGGTGGGGACAACAGAAGAATGTCACCTCTACGAGACGACGAAAAGCAAACAGCAGCTCTGACTCACAGAGAGCAACAGCCTCCAAACAGATCAGTTTTGGCTGAATGAGCACAGATATGCACACTGCTGTTAGTACGACTGTTAGCGGCCTATCAGGTTCAGAGGCAAAGCTGCAAACTGCCTTTGATCAATCTGAGCTAAAGATACCACCACGCACAGAACAAATCCAAAAAATACCATTCTAATGGCAGGGTTCTAAAATAGTAACATTGCATTCCATGGAGATTTTACTCCATTTTCTTTGGACATACAGCTTTTGTATAATGGAAAAATGAGCAGGAGTCTTTGACTCTTACTGGTGAAAATATGTGGTTTTGAAAGCTGAGGGGTTAAAACAACCAGATCTGAGGATGGAGCAGTTTAATGCACAGAGCGCACAGAGCTGATATCCTCTAAGGAACAGAGTGGCATGGCTCCTGAGTGAGTCCTGAGTGAATCCTGAGTGAGTCCTGAGTGAGTCCTGAGTGAGTCCTGAGTGAGTCCTGAGTGAGTCCTGAGTGAGTCCTGAATGAGACCTGGGTGAGACCTGGGTGAGACCTGAGCCCTGGATAGGCGCGCTCTCTCACCAGGACACAGAGGAGGAGGTGCCAGGCAGAGCGCAGTGCTTATCCTCCGGGTTCAGGATCTGGGGGCTGACGTCCAGGGTGGCGTTCACACTGATGACCGGCCGAGCCCTGCGGTCAGACCACAGCAGAGAGGGGTCAACATCTGAGACCATACCGGAGAACGAGGGCAGCAAGGAGAACACCTTCCTCCCTGCACCATCTCACACTGTCTCACTGTCTCACTCCATCTCCCACTACAGAACACCTCCCTCCCTGCACTGACTCATTGCATCTCCCAGAGCTCGTATGAGATCAAAGGCTGGTCTGGCTCTCAAAAGGGTCATGACCACTTATATATTGTAATATTATTATAATATTATATTTAGCTAGCTGCTAAGCAAAAAAAAACTAAAATGGATAAAAGAATAAAATATCCCTGGTGATAAAATCTATCACCTGATTATGCGACTTGATAACAGTGAGACAGGTACGCACCTGTAAAGAACAGCTTTGTCTGCTCCAAAAGCTCCAACAATCAAGTCTGCAGAAAAGAGGAAGAGTGGAAGGAAAACTCCATCATCATTCACTTTCAGTTCAGTACAACTCTCACTGTCCTGCTATTCAGACACAGTGGTGTTCAGTCCTCTTAAACACTACAGAGGTAATGCCCAGATTGTCCATACTGTAAGCTGAGAAACATTGTGCAGACAGTACGTTACATCAAGTCACATGACAGACATTCTTATCCAGAGAGACTTACAGAGCAAAGGAACGAGAGGGCATTTAAGAGAGCCACACAAAAAACACCACACACAAAAAATGACAGACCACCAGAGTGTGTGTGAGTGTGTCCCGCAGCGCGGTGATACCTGGGTAGCCGTTGAGGTCGACGTCGGTAGCGCCGTGCATGGCGTAACCGAAGCTGGGGGGCATGGAGGTGGCGGCCCACTTCCCCTCCAGCACCTGCGACGCCGCCGGGTCCGGACCCGACGCCCTGCCGTTGTAGATGTACACCAGACCCCGGCGCTCCGGGCCGCCGTAGGGGGCGGCGATGGCGATGTCTGAAACAGAGCAGGGGGTGGGGGGTGGGGTCACCACGTGCGGGCGGCTCGGCCACTACATTACATTATTGGCATTTAGCAGACACACTTATGCAGAGTGGCTTACACAGGTTACAGTCTTACATATTATCCATTTATACAGCTGGATATTTACTGGGGCAGTTTTGGGTTAGGTACCTTGCCCGAGGGTACAACGGCAGTGCCGGCAATTGAACCGGCAACCTTCAGTTACAAGCCCTGCTCCCTACCACTATGCTACTCTGCCAACACCAGCTGTAACCTTAACCAGGATGAACTGTCAGCTCTGATTAAAAAAAATGCCCGTGGGCTAGTTATGAGCTAAAAATGACTGCCACTCCTCACTCTTCAAACCCAATTCTGTAACACCACGCCACACTGCTGCCCAGGTCAGGTGACAGGTGGCTGGAAGCGGCTGTAGGCGGGGTTGACTGGGTGGGCGGGGTCAGAGGGTGGGCGGGGGCGACGCGCTGTCCTACCGTGGAAGCCGTCCATGTCCAGGTCTCCCAGGGGGGCGAGGGAGCTGCCGTAGCGGGAGTAGATCTCAGAGCCCGTCAGCCTCTGCGGGGGGTGGAAGGAGAACCCCCCCTTCCCCAGGTACACATACACCTGCCCCACCTCCCGCAGCTTCCCATCCGAGCCGCGGTCCATGAAGAGAGGCGCGCCCACGAAGAGGTCGACCGCTCTGAGAGAGGGGCGGGGACACAGGGGCGAGAGCAAAGATACTCACACTGCTGCAGAGCAAAGATACTCACACTGCTGCAGAGCAAAGATACTCACACTGCTGCAGTACAGAGATATTCACTATGCCGCAGTACAGAGATATTCACTATGCCGCAGTCAGGCCAGCAACGCCCGCAGGAAATCCTCTTATCACTTCAATTAAGTCACATTTATCTACACTTGCCTGAGATAAGGGACCGCTTTCGGTTTTGAAGCAGAATGCGCGAGTTCGATAAAGCAAGCGCAATCTCGCTGTTTACAGAAGCTGACTGGAGATCAGTCCCACTCTGACGTTCTGAGGGGCATATAGACCGCGTGGTTTCCAGGGCGACCAGGACAGCTTGCCACACCTGGTGTGGACTATGCTTACCTGGCCTGGTGCCAGGCCATCTCCAGTGGTGGTCTGGTGGTGAACAATCTGGCTACATGCAGTGAAAAGCATGATGGGTATTATGACACAAACTGTCAGATTTATTATATTTATCTGCTCGTGTTCCAGCACATTAAGTGGTTTTGCCAGTTTGTTTTGGTCAGCTGTTTACATTCTCGGGAACTGATGGAGCCAAATATTATACCCAGCTCCTCTTTATGGACTGTAACTAAAACAGATGTATGTAATAAATGTCTGAAAATAAATGTTTGAACATTGTTCTCAGGTCTGTTTCATTCCTTTCCCATGTATAAAACGTGATTAAAATACAGCACTCAGAGCTGTCTTTTGTCTGCTTGCTGTTTGCGGTTTGCTTCTCTACTTGTCCTCCCAAAGAATTTAAACAATGAGTGATACTTTTGAGTTCACATGAGAATTCATCATCTATCCTATGAACTGAGTATTCACACAAACAGATCTAGCCAGACAGAGTGGTGTACCACCAAAGATGGGAAAAGTTCTTTTTTTTTCTTACTACCAATAGAGTAACAGTAACTAACTAGTTTTCTACTACTGCCCCATTAAAATAGGGAAATACCTCAATAAAACCTCAAATAGATTACAAAGTTAGAAATGAGGTGGCAAGAATGTGACTGTGATAAAAAAAAACACTTTTTTGGGGGAGTGAGGGGTGGTGGTGGAGGTTGTGATTGCTTGCATCCAGACAGATCAGTACATTCTTTGCTGACCTTTGAGCATCTGTAAACAGCATTCATCGATTTCTGAAACCACTTACACTCACTAAATCCAGGCATCACACGCAGCAAAAGCAAGCTGAAAGACGCCTATTGCTGACTGGTAACAATGAGGCAGTTTTTCTTGCCTCTTCTTCATTGCTTGTCCATTCAGGTGGTAGATAATAGCAACGTAAACACAATTACATACCCGTCATTATTGATGTCCACTGCTGCCACGGAGTGGCCAAAATAAGCAGCCATCTGCCAGAGACACAGAGAGAAAAGGGGAATGAGTGATCCTGTCCGGTGACACAGCATCCAAGCCCTGTACTGACATCACAACACTCCACACAGAGAGGACAAAAAAAAAAAAACCACCAGTTTCTGTTCAGCCTCAAATTCTCTCAACTCCACGTCTGCCGAATCATCACATCACAGAGCGTGCAATTACTGTCCGCTCCCACGTCTGAACTATAACCACAATCCCACGCAGCCTACGGAATACCCACAATGCACTGCGGCGTATAGGATAAGCCCCGCTGCACTTGAGGCCCGAGGTCTGGCTGCTGTGTGGGCTTCCTCCACAGCCCCACAGCCTCTCTGTTTACCAAGCACTTATGAGAAAAACCCGAGCAACAATAACATTAACAAACAACGTATCAATTACATAAGCATTCCCCCGCTCCTGCCCCGGGGCCACGCTTTGGCGATCTGCTCCGTGGCTCGCTGGCTCCACAGAGGGGTCAGGGAACAAAACGCTGCAACTTTACGAGCCATTAAAACTGCTGTGTTTTTGTTGATTGAGAGGGAATGTACTGTAAGCTTCAGGTCAGCAGGTCGTCTGATACCAGATTAAGTATGGGCACACAGGACACGAGCTTTGAAGAGCGTGAACTCTGACCCTTTTAGTCTGTTAATGGCTAGCCGTTAACTCCCACAGAGAACACAGGCTCCTGCCTCTCTGTGTGTGTTCCGATAGAGAGGGGCCGTGTGAGGTGAGTCAAAGAGTGTGTCTACAAAGACAAAGAAAGGTTATGACATTTATATACTGCACAGCCAGTAGATCTGTAAAACTCTACTCTCTATTCAGATTCAGACTCTATTAAGATTATTACTCTATTTTACACTTGAATCTGAAACCGTAACCTCTGTAAGTCGCTCTGGATAAGAGCATCTGATAAATTACAGTAATGTAATGTGATATACTCCACTCATTTCAACACTAAAACTGAATGACATTCTTCAAGCTTTTGAAGGAGAACTTCACTTTTTTTTTTTTACTGTCAGTAAGTTCATTTAGCATGGGATTTTTAGAGCCGTCTCTTCATATACGAGCTACGAACACTGGTACAGAATCTAACTGTCCTGTAAGGGGTGACCTGGAGTGACCTCATGACCTCAGAGACAGCAGATAATGATCAGCTCAGATTCCATCTAGTAAACAGAAAGGATGTAAAAGATCACTGAACGTTCTGTGATGATCACAGTATAGGAAATGTAACCATGCTCTGAGCACAGCCCCCACCCGAGTCAGTTACATTGAGGAACAGGGGGGGAGGATGCTGTATGGGGATTTTTCCTCCATAGGCAACAATTGTGTGAACAAGGAAAAAGTTTACAGGGTGTCTGAACACAGCTTTCCCCGATGACATGTCCTGCCCAAAGTACTTCCCTCTGTGGTGTTCATAACTCCCTTCCCTCTCAAATACTACCCTGTCACCGGGTTCTGATTGGCTGAGGGAGCTGACCCCGCCCCTTCTCCTCCTTCTCTCCTCCCACTACCGTGACACACTAATGAAGACAAAGCCGTGAATCTGCTCCAGATGCGAATTCCGGACACTAATTCATGGTGTGAAAAGCAAGTACCAAATGTAACAAAGTCCTGACTGCAGGGACATTCCTGCTCATATCTGTGATGCTTCACTTTATCCCACAAAACAGGCATCCTCCAAAAGGAGTTTAACACATGAAGAGCAAACAGAAATCTGATTGGACGCAACAAGAATATCATTAAAAGGACAGACAGGTAAAAAAACAGTCAAACACAATATCAGAAAGCTGAGCCTTGACTCCAGACAAAATGCCTTTTGCAGCTTACCTGCATTCCAGTGAAATTGACCATGGACTCCATGTTCTTTCCATTGAAAATGTTCACCTGTTGAACCATAAGCAGATATTAAACAAACACACTTCCTTAAGAAGATGTACTGCAAGCTTCTTTATCTAAAGGGCATGGAATTCTTACATAACCAAGGGCTTTCTGTCCTCTTGGAACCCCTGTGATATAATCTGTGGAAAGAAGCGAGGAGGATTACATGCTAGAAATTGTTCTGTGACAGCATTTGAAATATTAACATAACTCCCATCTTGCTCCACTACTGTCTAATATATCTGTATCTAAATAAAGGATAAAACCGAAGGAAAATAAAGTTTTTTATGTTAAAGGACTATTACGACATGGTTTTACAATCCTAGGCACCTGTGTTTGGAGAGCAATAATACATCTGCCCATCCTGATTCAGTGCAGGAAATTCAGCATGGAGAGCTAACAGACAGGGGGGGTCCACTTTCTCCCATAAATAAGCAGGGTATCTGAATGACCAAGGTCACTGCTGTCTAACTGGAGATAACTCTTTATTAGAAGTTTATGTCTCCCAAAAATATATTTGTATCTACAATTCAACTGCATAAGGTGAAGAATAAACACTCAAGTAGAGGCAAACTGCTCTATGTCACTGCAGAGTACAGATGTTTTTCTTCCTGTTTAGACCCACAACAGTGGCAATATGGCCTAAACTGTAAAGCCTAAACAGTGGACTGGGGACAGAGGGATTCTCACCGTCATCTCCGTCTCCATTGAAATCCCCCACAGTCACAGAGTAACCTGCCAAGGGAGAACAGGTATGAGCATTAAGGTAGAGAGGAGGATAGAATGTAGCAGCACTGAAGGTGGACCTTCTATACATTCCTGCATTACAGTCTGCTTCACTCTGCTGTTGTGTACAGTTGGGCGTGAACACATAATTATCGACTACATAAATCTTCTAATCCAACTAATTGTCCCTAATGATAGCTCAAGGTGCTATTTTACAGGAATATGAAACAAAATGTGTAAACAGAAGTTTGGAAAGTGCCACCAAACAGGAAAAAAATGCCGAGCTAAACAGAAAGAACGTACCCAAATAGCTGTCATCAAACTGAGCGCTGGCTGGCTTGGTGGACAGCTGGTTGCCATAAGGGGTGTAGAATTTTTTATTGTACCGGCTGATAATTTCAGAAATGTCATCGGAGATCAGTTGTCCTGGTGAGAGAATAAGGAAGCAATTTCAGGCTTAAGAAGTTGAAATTAGAATCACGATGCAAACATCATGAGGACAATGCTTACAAACTCCTCTAATTGATGTTACAATACCAGTT